ATAACTCCGTAGAACTCGAAGGCATTGCCGTCCCAGTACACCAATAATGCCTTGGGGATTATGGTGCATGTGGGCATGTGGTGAAACGATCTGATTGGTCTGGAGAAGTTTCCTATGTTCCGAGATTGTCTGCTTTTATTATCGGTTTCAGCGAGTAGAAATGTCATTAAGAATGGATTTATTGGTAGTTTAGTGGTTGTTCATGAGAAAAAGAAAGAAGAAGATGTGAAGATACACAGATTGCAGCGGTTCCTATGCTTTGTTTCCAGTTCGCTGTGTTATTTTCTGAAATCAGCCTGAGGTTTCCCTTGAAAATTTTGATCTTTCTGTGGAACAGTCACCCCTTTTTTGCAATGATGATATTGCAAATTAACACCAATAGCTTTCTGAATGAATTTGTTCACATTTACGTTTGAAAATCCGAAAGAAGAACATGGCCGTCAAAGGAGTGAAACTTGTATATTAGTGAAATTCCTCGCTTGAACCTCTACACAACAAACGCAGTTTCGTCCCAGATAGCAAAACGACATGCTTTTATACAACAGTTTTTTTGAGAAAGTTGTGGTTGTTCAAATAGGGTTAGATTTTTGACCTCCTCAATCCATTATAGATAGCAGTTCGGGGGCAGAGCAGTACTTTCTGTTCGCGGCATCGCAATACGAGAGAGAGTCGACACTGTGCGTGGGCTCAATCTCCCAAGTCAGCTCGTACTGCTCAGCTGACTAGGAACTTACGCTCCCCACCCAATGCAATCTAGCCTGAATGTGGACAGCGAGCAAAATTCAAAACTTGGTGTAGAAAGAGGTCGTCTGAAGAACGTGGGTCAGAGGGCCCCAGTGATGAGCTCAGTTTCGACCGAAGGGTGCGATGGTGATGTCCTCGGTCGGCGCCCTATGAATGCACATCACTGATCCTTTGTTTCTACATTACAGTATTTATTCTTGCCCTCAATTCGATTTTTTCGGTTTTACTTTAGAATTTCCAGCCCATCCGAGCAATTTAAACAATTGGTGTGACTATTATGCTCTATGCATGCCTTTTGTCCCGTGATGTGAGAGTCGTCATTGGCCACTTTTGCGACAGTTCGGGTGAAATTTTCGCAGCTATGCTTGCACGGATTATGGGATCAGCCTCGTGAAAAAAGCGTGCATTACTCTTTCATGATAACTCAGTTGTCACCGGAACTGAAAGAAACAACACTGACATGAACGTCTTTTCTCTTCCCGAATCATTGTTCACGCCAAATATCCATTCATACACATGTATGACTCTGAATGGGACTCAACTGCATAGCACTCTCCAACTTTCAACAACATCTGCCATTATTTGCCCTTTTACTTTTCACCTAATGTCGGTTTTTGAAATTTCGTGAAAGCGAAATTTCTCTAGGGCCGTGGTTGGCGTTCATGTTTAGCTCAGCGGCACTCTAGCGGGTGAGCAGTTCCCAACAGGGCCTGCTCGTTCAGGAACAAACTCACCACCTTACCCACCTTACTTTCTCAGGGCATCGGAAAAGCTCGCAAATTGACTGGGTACCGGTCGAGTTATTCTGCCCAGGAACAGGGAAGCATGCACTTCAGTATGTATTTTTCGGATCCTCCAGCTTAGTGAGGGTTTACCTCCTTTTAGCTCTTTCGCGCTCAATGTACTTCTTTTTCGAAGTTCTGATCGTTGCCGTCTTTTTTGTCTCTCTCGGTTTATTTGCTCTTATTCTTTACATGCTTGTTTGCCGTTTTTCCGTGCCTAGCTTTACTTCTTCTCCTATTCATCGCATAAGGACTGACATTAGTAAGACATGTTAGACTCCCACCGTTTTCGAGAATTCACATAGTGCTCATGTAAAGATTGAAGCATCAGGGGTTGATCAATACGTTTAAAAACGCCAGCAATTCGATTTCACGTCTGACTCGAAGAAGAGCTTGTAATGGTCACTGTTTCTGTCCTCCCAGACGACCAGCTATTACCAGTCATTCGACTCTGAGGAGAGGCAGGCTTGCCTGGTCAACAGGGAACCCAACCTCAACCTGATGCTCGTACCGTAACCGTGCTACGTCTCCGGAAAATTACCATCCCCCGCAAGCCTCATATTGACGGCGGTAATAACCAGAAAAATTTGAGTAATTGTGAAACTATTAGGTCTGACAGTTGATAAGTACAAGAGTGGAAAGATTTCCGCTTCCACTTCATGGGAACCTCGCGTTCGCAAGCTGCAGGAAAAACTGTCAATTCAGCGTATGAGTACTGTAAGAATTTGGCAGATAAGTAAAGGAACTGGGACGGTGACATGCAACATGGTAGTGGAGTAGCACATCTCACACTCACCCGGAAACGTGAGATGGTAGTTCAAGTCCTGTCCAAGGTCTTGGGCTTTGCCCTTCACTCTGCACTCCTAGGTTTCGGAGCACGAGCTGCGCCGCCATTCAACTGCATCAGATCACTTGCTTTCCCCATCTGATCAACATTCCCTTCTTGTGGTGGGTGTTCATCTATTCTGTTTCGAAAGTCATTTAGAAACTTGAAATGTTCGTTCAAACGATTCTTCGAGTGCTAGAAAATTTTGTAAAACTTCTCATTAGCGAGCGTTCGGCTTCTCATAAGCTTATAAGTTTTTCCCACTTTTGAAACATCAAAAGATGCCGCAATGAATAACGGAAGATGGCGATCCTATTTCGCATAGCCGCCCATGGGAGGTGCAGCAAAGTAGCAAACTCAAGCGTTTGGGTTCCACCTTGTGAAGGGTTCCTAAAAGTTCTCACAGTCTCGAAATCTTTCTATTCTGTTAAGCAGTTGACAAGATAATTTGATACACGGCCTAAAATGCTAGCAGGGCGCTATCTAGTGGTAAAATGGCGAAAAAACGAAGTGAAACGGTCAAAAACTGCGAAGAAAAGCCTTCGTTCTTGAGAAGCAATTTCGGACGAGTTTCCGTAGGCGTATTGCAAATAACCGCTCCGGCAGGTACGGCTGCCTGTATGTACGCATATATACCATTTTCACTTTGAATTCACCCTTTTTCAAACCAAATTCACCCTTTTCAAACCAAATTCACCCTCACTTTTCACACCAAATTGACCACTTATAAGGGCGGGCATCATCTGAAGAAGCCCCCCACTTCACAAAAATGGTGAAAATCGGCAGTATAGAGCCTTGGCTTGCATGCTAGGGTATTGCTGAGCATTCGGAATAAACTTTGCCGGATTTTCTTGTTCCGAGTGACGGACGAGGTCCTAGCATGCGAGCTAAGGCTCTATACTGGCGAGTTGCACCATTTTCTAAAAATGGGCGGGACTTCTTCAAAGTGGGCGGAGCCTCTCACAGTGGGCGGGGCTTCACACAGCAGCCCTAAAGTGCAAAAATTTTGAAAAAAAATATCGAAAGTCCTTGAGGCGGAGGGGGTGTAGTGACAAGTGGCGCGCTTACGACTCGCGCGGCGCCGGGTTCAAGTCCCGGGTCGACACCCGCCCAGACCAACCAAGCATTCTACCCTCCGGCGACGGTGAATTGGTACCAGATTCGTCCAGGCAGGAATAAAACACTGACTTGTACATCGGCTGGCCACCGCAAGTCATTGTATAGGCCACATCGCATTCAATAAGCCACTACGATTCTGAATGGAAGTAGAATGCGTGCCGCATCCCACAAAGGGATTGATCAACGGCGAAGACTTTATCCTTTATCCTTTTATCGAAAGTCCGCGAAAAGCAAGTGGGCGTGGTCAGCCTAGATTGCCAAACCCTTTAGAAAATGGGCGGAGTCGGCCATGTGTCAGTGCCCGGTCGTTTCCAGTCAAAGTGTTTGTGGGAAACAGCAAAAGCAGAAGTTATGAAACAAGATTTGAGAATCTATGTCCGCGCTGACAAGTGGGCGTGGCCGTCGGGGCGGGGTCGCAGTGATGTCTGGCATGATCTGCTTGATGATGCCCGCCTTTATAGGTGGTTAATTTGATGTGAAAAGTCTACGCGGCGCCTAGTCAGGGTCGCGGAAATCCGCTCTGCCACTGGTATCAATCCTATTCGTTTCTAGGGATTTATCGTGCCAGCTGCCTTTAAGGAGAAGTTTGGGTCCGCTTGGTGCTCTAAACGGGTTTTACTGAACGAAGCATGGTTTATTTTTATTTCCGTGACTAGTCGAATTGCAGATTATTGACACTTAACTTCTTACGACCTGAACACCCCTTATCGAACCCAATCGGACACGTTCTAATTTTACCAACAACTCCAGACACCTAGTCAATGACTTTATCATTCCCTGTCTCTTTGGCTATTTTGGTAATATCTTGTCCTATACTGGAGCTGCGGCTCTTTCTATAACAACTGTCGCTCATTGTGACATTCTGATCAAGATGTCCCATAACCTTGTCGAGGACATAATTCACTCCCACTTCTGTTCCCCAATTACGTACAGTATCCATGAAAATACTCAACCAAGAGTATGGGTAACATACCGGCGGCGATCCTTTACAAATAGTCGTTGCTGCTGGTCAGTCCTCGGTTGTTAACAGCCTCTGTTACCCATCGTTAGTGATTGCCCTTGTCATTTGTAAGTAAGAGCAAAAGACTGTTCCAGTCGCATGTTGCACGTAAGGGATCCTCAATGAATGTCATTTTGGTAGCCTGAAGGGAGGTGGTCGTATTTGCTTAGAAAAATCTTTTCGTTTCTTCTTAATTTTTACTTTTTCATGTGCGGTATCTCCGCCTCCCCCCTCGACGGCAATGTTTCATGAGAAAAGTGGAGAAATCTTGACAAAAAAGCGGAAATGAGATAGGAAGTCGAGAAAATTCAGGGGAGTAGGATGATATGGGATGGTGTGAAAGGGAGCCGGGGTGGGGAGGTGTTGAACTAGAAGGGGAAATGTGGAGGGGGAAAGTATTTTGCAGAATTTTCGCTGGCGACAGGACGTGCCCAGGTTCCAGTTGACTTTCTATGTTTACGGTCACCCACGAAAAGAAACGTGCCAAGGTGGCCTGTCAATCGCTTCACCTGAAAGGCTGCTTATTCGCGGATTGAATTTGACTGAACAAAATTTCCGCGCTGCCCCGAGAGGTTCAGGTAACTCATATCAATTAAAGTTCATATCAGTCGCATTACTCATGCCAAACTCAAGAAAAGTTTTTGCTACAGATATATGGTAGTATCGCTTCATATTTGGACCTGCTGTGGGGGACATACGTCCCGGGAGCATTTGCCAACAAGGAGGAAAGCAGAATTTGTGTGGCTCGCCTTCTTAAATGAACTATACACGATAGTAGAGTTCAATTATTCAAGCAGCACGTAGATCCCATAGCTAGATTGGCGGCAAAAATTTGTCAGAATTTCGGAAATTAATGTTCCTTTGTATAGAAGCGTACAACATGAAGTGTATCCACCATTGTTGTTATGGGCTTCTTACTAGTGCTCCGGGAGATTACCCCTTAGATTAGCAGATTGCCATTCATGCCAAATGGTGGCTGGCGCAACGCAAGGAAGGACGCCGGCTGGACTTTCACATGGGCTATTGTCGTGAAGCGTTTCCCCTCGATGTAACAAGTTAGTGCAGAAAGCAATTAGTAGTCGAAAGCGCAATGTCGGGCCACCAGTTGCTAACAGAGAGCCATCCAGCGTGCGGTCTGACCTTGTCTTCCGGAGAGCAGGGATTGTGTGCAAATGCTCCCCTTTGATGTACGGATTTCTTGGGATCTCGATGCTGCTTTGTGTGAAGATCGGTGGTAGCGGCAATTTCTTTATATAACTTTACAAGCCGGAGCCCCCTCAAATCTTAGTACTGACGGACATCTACAGCTCACGTCGCCTACGTGACTCTAAGAGGGGGTTTTTAGTCCATGGCGAGGGAAAATTGCCCATTCACGGGCATCATCGTCCTTTTCCTTCATCGTCGTCTCGATAGCTCTCATGCTTGAGTGAAAGTGCTAGAAGAAAAGTTCTTAAGGGTGCCAGAAATGACAGTCCGAAACGAAACTGCTGCCTCGCAAAAGCGGAATAAAAAACAAGTGAGATTGCTGGAAGTATCATTATTTTGCGTATCAGTTTTCTCACAATCAATCACTCCTTTTCCAGTATGGGCAGGTATTCCCAGTATGAAAATCTCAAACATTCCTGCCAACCTAACAATTTGTTGATTATGCTATGTGCTCGAGTGTTTCCTGCCATCCATCAAAAAAAGTCCTTCGTTTCTTTGCCAGACCGGATTGGTAATGGCAATGGCGATGAAAACTGTGGGAAAAACAACTAAAGGAACTACTTAGAAGTTTGATCGTTTTATCACGCTCGCGTTTCCGCTTTGACATTGCAACAGTTGACTTTTCAAGTTGAGAATACGGTTTGGGGATGAAGATTCACTACCAGCCCTTAGAAAATCTTTAGCTTCGGTATCTATCGTGATAGTCCAAGGAACTATTTTAGGTGTGTCACTATAGTTCATCATTATTAATACTATGAGACTACTATAGTTTGCTGTGACACTATTCCACCATATTTACTACCTCGGAGAATTGTTTTTTTTCCTGTGAAACTTCGTTTACAGAGGCCACACACTGCTTTGTTCACGATTGTCGCCAACATATTCACCCGTCCTTTTGGAAAATGTAACTACTCCTGGTCACGAGTGTGGCACTCTTTTGAAAACAGCCCAATTCATCGTTCTGCTAAGCTTAAAGGCAGTTGGCACGATAAATCGCTATACAGGTGTAGGATTTGTACAACTGCCTTAACAGAATTCCGTGACCTAGGACAGGCGCTGCGTGGAGCCTTTCCAAGGAGGGGACCCTATAACGCCCTATTGAGCAACAACTTTACGTCCCAAACGCCTTCCTTGCCCGCCCGCCCACAAACGGACGACCGTTTCTGACGCTCGTATTCATTCATTTGCTGAGCAAATTATGAAGCAAAGGGATTGGTATGAAGCGGCGGTGATGCTGCATGCATATATGGGTACACATATGCAGCCGTATCTTCGGTAGCGGTGATTGGCAAGATGCGTACGGGAAACTCGTCCGAAATCGATTTACAAGTCACTGAGAACGGAGGCTCTTTCTTCGCCGGATTTTGACCGTTTCACTCCGCTTTCGCCACTTCCCTACTATACAGCGCCCTACTGGCATTTTAGGCTAAACAGGAAACCATCGTGCCAAGTGCCTTTAAGGCTAAGCGTGGAGAGGTAGAGTAATTCTATGGCAAACGATTGTTCTATGGCAAACCGCATGCTTACCGCTCGCGCGGCCCAGGGGTCAAATCTCGGATCGACTTCCGCCTAGGTCGGCCAAGTTTTATACCCACTAGAGACGGCAAATGGGACCAGATCTGTCTGGGAGGATGAAACACTGACGTACAAATCGCCTGTACTCCGCAATTCATTGTTTAAGCCGCACCGCATTCAAAGAGCAACTACGATTTTGAATGGAGGAAGTGTGCATACCGCATCCTAAAAATATTCGATCAACAGGCGGATAGGGGGCCTTTTTTTTTCAAAAAAAATTTTCCCCCCTTTAAAAAAATATCGTTATTTAATAGTGGAGTAATGCCATTGCCACTGTATTACAAGATCTCAAGGGTAAGTTAATTGGAAACATTCGAATCACTTTGTTCGAAGATTTTCAGGCGTACAATAGTTATCTTATAGTTTTTAATTAGAACTGAAAACGTTGTTCGTTAATAATCCATAGACCAGCTGTAGTTTTGATGTTGAGGAAGTGATGGGGGTAATCGAAATGTTACAGGTTGAGTGAAAACGAGAGCCAAAAAGAATACGCAAGTTTTCAAAGTAGGAGTTGCTGAGAATAGCGAATATAGAAGTTGGAGGAGCTATTTTAATAGTGTATCTTCTTTACCGGGTGATGTGTGGAAGGTCAAGTGATCGACCTTATTCAATCCGTACGAGTTACGCCGCTCATTCGTCATCGTTTGCAGGACAGAAAGAAGTGTTCGATTAATGATACTATGTGTAACACTGGTCTTTGTGGATCGATGAGCACTGGTCCGGTTCTCTGCTGTTGTACCTCAATTACCCTATCCTATTATATTCATCCTTTAACTAACCGTTGTTGATACCTGGCTGTGCTCATTTGATGACGTGAACCGAAAACTGAGCGTAAATGGAGGACTATGCCTGCACTCAGGTGTTTTGTTATATAATGTTATTCAAACCGTGCAGATGGTAATGATGGAGTTGTCCATACATCCATCTAAGTCAAGAAAGTACGTCAGTCTGGCAGAAGGCAGTCCAGCGCTTGAAGCGTCGCTGAATTCCTAGAGGCAGGAGCCGCCTGGACTAGTGCTCTGCGCTAGTTGTTAATTCCCGCTCTTTGCCCGCCTTATAAGTACCCGTAGTACTATAAGTAGGAACTCTCCACCGAAGGGGAAGCCAGTGATGTGAGTGACTGCCCCCACAGTTAGCGTGGAGTGTACCATTAATCCGCCTTTCTCTCATTGGATTTTTCTATACTGTCATATCAGCAATTCTGAATAGATGCAAAACAGATAAAAAAATAAGCGGCAAATAAACTAAAACTAATTTCTCAATTATTTTGATGGAAACACTTGGAATGCATGGTAGAGAACTAAATAGTAGAGAACTACTACTACTGGAGTAAGTGCAACGTTCTCAGTTATTTCGATGGAAACACTTGGAATGCATGGTAGAGAACTAAATAGTAGAGAACTACTACTACTGGAGTAAATGCAACACGTTGTAGATTTTCTGAGAGAAGAGTCTTTTGGTAGAACTAAACAGAATGGAGCTGAAATGTCATGAAAACGGCATTTTTATGATGACCGTATTCAGTTCGAGTAGTCATTTGGGTAGTTACTTATTAATGACAGTGCACTGCGGGATGACAAGGCGACCCTCAAAATGACTATCCAGGATCTCGAAAGATATCTTCTGTCGCAACTTCTGCCATTGGAATCGCGTCTCCATAAAAGCTAGTTCACAGGC